CCCCCCACCCCCAGCAAATACTGCTGAAAAGAAAATTGCAGTCAGCTGCTCAAGCTACTGCAGTGTGGTCCACTGAGGAAGGGCAACCACAGGAGAGGTTAGGAACATTCTGGAGCTCATAGCTTTGTAGGACTAAGCAAAGTTACAGGCCCACCAAGGAAATCCGAGATGGAGCCATCCTTCTGGAGAAGACTGCAAGTCTAAAATGCAGAATTCCAAAAATTGGGCAGTAGCCACAAAGTCAAAGAAAGCCTTTTCTAAATATGAACCTGGACAGGATGCTTAACATACACGACATATGCCATGGCAGACAATCATCATAAGTAGCTTAATATTTTAATATAAAGAAGATGGTATGTATATATACCATCTCCTCTTGGTGTGTGTGTGTGTGTGTGTGTGTGTGTGTGTGTGTGTGTGTGTGTGTAATTTCATGACTGAAGAAACAAGACTCAGATTAAGTATGAATCTCAGGAAAAGGAAAAAGTGTAGGACAAAGATTGGGTCAGTTGTTGCCAAGGGCTGGTGTGGGGAGGTGTTTGACTACGAAGGGCCAGCACCAGAGAATTTTGGGGGTTTTGGAACTGTTTTGTGTCCCGATTGTACTGGTGGCTACATGTTTAAACTTATAGAACTGGACAACAAAAAAGTTAATTTTCCTGTATATAGATTAAAAACAAATCACATGGATAGTGAGTGATAGAACAGGGTCTAGAAAGTAGGTTTTGTGACTCTTTTGACACATTGTCCTCTATCTTTTCTCCTTGTTGGTCATCACTAATCTTTGTCTACTCTGTCCCAGATACAGTGTGTCCTCTTTTCCAGCCATCAGAATGCATTCAACTTTTTCTTTAGGTTACAGCTTTTAATCCACAGCCCCCAGATAGTTATTATTATTTTAAAAATAGCATCTACTTATTCTAAGAGTGTTATGAGAGGTGGGAGAAGAAACTTCCTGGCAGAGGGTTGAGGCAAAGCCCAATGGTTGGAGAGAGAATGACCCATTTGAGGAACTGAAAGGTAGCCAGTGTGGCTAGAGTGCAGTGAAGTAGGGGAAGTAGGACACAGTGAGGTACAAGATGAATCTGGAGAAGTGAGAGCTAGGACCTTATAAAGCAGTAGTAAGGATTTTGGATTTTATTCTAAGAGAAATGGGGAGCCACTGTAGTGCTTTAAGCAGGGACTGATAAGATTGGATTTGGAATATCACTCTGGTTATTGTATGGAGAATGAGTTACAGGATGGGATGCAGTGATATGGTGGATTCAGGGAGACACACTAGGAAGCTATTGCAGTATACTGGGCAAGAAATGATAATAACTTGGTATAAGGCAGTGATTCTCAACTGGGGGGCTGTTTTGCAAACCAAGGGATATTTGGCAATGTTCGCGACATCTTTGGTTGTCACTAGACAGGATGGGGGGTTTGGTGCTGCTACTGGCATCTAGTAGGTAGAAGCCAAGAATTCTGCCAAAACATCCTATAGTGTATAGGGATACTTCTCACAACAAAGAACTATCTAGCCCAAAATATTAATAGTTCTGAGGTTGAGAAAACCTGATATAGTATATAGAGAGGATAGATTTGAAAGATAGTTAAGAAGTAAAATGGATAGCACCTTGTTATAGGTTGGATACTGAGGAAAAGGGAAAGGACAATTTCTAAATTTCTGGCCTGTACAACTGGGTGGGTAGTGGTGCCTTCATTCAATAAAGACAGAATAATCTGGAGGTTAGAAGTCCAGATGATGTTGCCCAGTGGACAAGAACACTGTATTTTCTTCCCCTCTGTTAACTCTTTAGCTGCTGTGTTTAATTTTCTTCCACATTGTTCATCTCATTCCTTCCATTTCTAGTTATAATGCATCAATTTCCTGGACAAGAATCGGGGTTATTGTTGGTGGAGATTACAATCAAACACTCATCTTTTCTCAGTTAATAACTTAATTGTCAATTTATAGACAAATAAGTTATTAATTTTAATAGAAAATGATCAGAAACATTTAATAAATAATTCATAATTTTAATAGAAAACAATTAATAACCAAATAAAAGCAACACCAGAATTTAGGAACTTAGCAGAGAAAATAGCTATGGAGGAAAGTGGTCTGGGAAAGTCCGGTAGAAGAAAAGAAAGGGAAGCAATACTTGAGGGGGTGAAGGGAATAAGGTACCAGTGACTGCCTTTATGTCACTGTTTTTTTCTAGTCCTCACTTCTAAGTCCTGCCTTCCTTGGGTCCAAGGCCTCATCCTGTACACCATGTAGTTGTTAAAATCTCAAACCAGTGTCAGTTCATGATGACAACTTTAGCTTTTAGCTTCCTGTTTGTTTACTGATCTGCAGGGATTTTCCTACTTCCTGGCAAGCTCAGAATATGTTTAGTATATTTTAAACATTTGTAACACAACACTTGTAGTGCTATTTTATATTTTCTAGGGTAATCTGATTAAGGTTCTTAAACTTGAAGCAAAGAGGAGTAGGAAATTGCTGGGAAATTTTTAGATAAACTATATCTAGAGATAGTTTATATTCAATTTTGTATTTTTATAAAATCTCAAGTAAATGATTTATTTAGCATTTTTGTCATTTAGGTAAATACTTTTATATGGCTCATGTACAAATAGACATATTTTTACTTTTCAAAGATTATATTGTCAGGTCAT